CAGTACTTTATAATCTCTGGTTCAGAGGGGGCTGGAGAAAAGGCCAAAGAGTCGTCAAACGACTTCTAGATTTGACTCCATGAGGAGAAATCTCTTTTACTTTACGCGTAAACCAATCTGGTTGGATTTCGTTCCTCCTCAGCGACCCCAAAAAGGAGTTCAGACTAATCTATCCGACGATAAAACCCGGTCAGTCCAAACAGAATTACTCTCCCCTCCCACACCTTTAAGACAGGTCACCCACTTCCCACTTTTCTCCCAAGGTTTGATTTTAGGGTGGGAGTTTTCCTCCTATCCTCCAGGCCCTTTCCACCATTCTTCCCCTTGAGCGCTACTGAATGGGACCTGTGTGTTAAACAAATGGATCATCTTAACTTTTTGATTGAGTGAGCACAGACTAAAGGGAACTTGAAACCTAATCCTGAGGGGCACATAACCGCTCCACAAATGTTTGGCCCGATCTCTTTTGCCGAGCAAAGACAAAGGTGACCTCGTGGGGGTTAAAATAGGGGATGGGAGTAAGGAGTAAGGAGTAAGGAGTAAGGAGTGGGGGGGGGGTTTGGCACAGAATAATGAAAGAGTGCTGGGATACATCTTTAGAGAGGGATTATTTCAGTGTCAGTTTGAAGTGACAGTGGCGTGTTTTTTTTCCTGTGAAAAGGAGGAAAAGCTGAATGACTTTCTCTTTAGAATCACGATTATTCCCATGTTACGAGGCAAATAAACTAAAAAAAAAGAGACAAAAGAGGGCTACTATGAATAAATCTTTATTTTATATGTGGCGATGTGACCTGTGAAATTTTGGTTTTCTTTACTCAAGATATTTTCTATTGAATTTTTACATAAACAAAAAACAGAGCACAGTTATAAGATGTTACAAGGTAGGATTGTAAAATCCAGTAAGACAAATTGTTTCATACAAAAGTTTGTTAAAGTAAAAGAAAGATAGATTTCACTCTTTAGAATCACGATTATTCTCATGTTACAAGGCAAATAAACCACAAAAAAAAGACAAAAGAAGTCAAACTATGAATAAATCTTTATTTTATATGTGGCAATGTGACCTGTGAGAGTTTTTAAAAGCTATTTAGAGTTATTTTTATTTGTCTTCTGTAACTAATGATGCATCTAAACGGAGTTAAATCCATTTTTAGAGTCTCAAACCGTGTTGTTTTGTATGATCATGCAGAAAAGTGTCCTTAATGTCTTTACTTTTCCTTTTTATTCCAGCTCTTCTTGTTGTGGAGACGGAAACCTTCGGCAGCCACATCCGAATAAAAGGAAAAGAGAGCGGACATTACATCTGCATGAACGAGAAGGGAAAGATCGTCGGAAGGGTGAGTTTTCGTCTTTAGATTTATTACATCGGGGGAAATAAGCATTTGACCCCTTGCTGATTTTTGCAGGTTTGCCCACTTACAAAGAATGCAACGATCTATAACTTTAATCATATGTCCATTCTAACAGTGAAAGACAGAATCCCAAAGAAAATTCCAGAAAATCACATCATATGAATTTATAAAAATTGATAAGCATCTGATGAGGAAAAATAAGCATTCTTTGTAAGTGGGCAAACCTGCAAAAATCAGCAAGGGGTCAAATACTAATTTCCCCCACTGTATTTATGATTCTAAATGAAGCCATGAAAGATTCATTTGCCACCATCTGATATCAAAACGCGGATTTTAAACCCGGTTTTTAATCCCGACTGAGTTTCCCCTTAGCCTCAGATCCCTTTTTTTCTCTTGTTGTTTTTGGTACACCCTAACAAAACCCCTTTGATAGCTGGCAGCCATTCTTCCATTACGTAATCTGCCTTCTCCTTTGACACTCGATCAGTCAATTACAGACAGCAATCACCACAATGCATTGAGAGACTAATGGTCACTTAGGAGGAATGCCATTGCAATTATATCACTTAGTCATAGCAGGTGGCCGAAAGCATGGGGCTGCACATATGGAGCAGAATGGATGTGGTGGATATAGAAAGCTCTTCATGCTCTTATTCCACTCATCTGTTGGAAACTGGGAGGCTTTTATTTGTTCAAAACTTTTTTTAATTTTTATTTATTTATTTATTTATTCATTTTTTATTTTTTATTATTATTATTATTTTATTTTTTATTTTATTTTTTATTTTATTTATTTATTTATTTTTTATTTAAACCATTCGGATTATCTGAAATTATAATTCTGCCTGAATTGTTGGTCGCCTGGAGTTTTTAGTCTGCATAAAAGACTAAAATATGGCTTCTTTTGGCTGACGAAAATGCAGATTATCTTATTTTTCACTCCAGTTTTTTTTTGTTGAAGCTCAAAAAAGAAAAAAAGGGAAACAATTGTGATTAAACAGAAGCTGTTGGGAACATTTCTTCCAAACCTGAAGCTGAAACCATTGAGAAAAGCTAAAAAAAATAGGGACCCGACACCATTTTATCTATATTAGCTGCTAAACTATTTATATGTATGGACATCTGAACATACTATATGACTCCCAAACACTTTATTCTTAACTCTTAACTGAAAAAGTTAAGTGGTAATATGCTTGAAATCGTGGAGTCCTGATGACTCCTGACGCCTTTTTGAGGCTCCATAAACACAAAGACATTTATAGAATTTGACTTCTTTGCAAAGTAGGGAGAAAAATAAGCATAAAACTTTCCTCTAACTCTTACAAATGGGCTTTGCTCAAGAAAGAGAAATGAAAATCCTCTCTAGTTAAATATCCTGGAAGGTTTCTGTCTGTAAAAGACAGAGTGGGGGTTAAGGTTTATTTATCTAAGGGCAGTTTTGGACAGTCAATTTTTTTTTCGAGATACATTTTTACAGTTTAATTTTACTTCCAGTATTTCACCCTCAGCTCTGGGTGTTTAAAAAAAAAGCTTTGGTTCACAGTTATGCTGACACTTTGCACAACTTCTGACACTTCTGTTTTTTCTTAATGCTGATTTATGGCTGCAGAAATACCAAGAAAAGCAGTAGCCTCTTTGATGTGATCAGATTGAGAACATATTGCGCAATAAATAAACCCCCTAAAAGAGAAGTATATGCTTTAAAGTGGGAATTAAAGTTAATAATTAACCCTTTAAAGCCTGATCCAAGAAAAATAGGAAGAATATTGGATTTTTTTTAGTGTGAAGTCTTTATTTGGCGCCTCAACAACATATGAAGAAAAAAAAAAGGAATTATTTTGATCAAATTAGCGTGCAATAAGTCAAAAATGTATTTTGGTGTAGTCTTCTACTGGCTGTTATCAGGTATATCTGAATGTGTACAACAGGGGTTTGAGCAAAGCTTTTACCACTGAATGATGCAGAAAGTCTCACATCCAAAAGAAACCGGATCAGATATGACACATTTGGCTTTATTGGGTTAAGACCCTCAAAACAGCTTAAAAAGACCCTCAAAAACAGTTTTAAAAGCACAAAAAACAGCTTTAAAAGCCCCAAAAAACAGCTTTAACCCTTAAACTTTTTTTTAAAAAAGGATGAGGTCAGTAGTGGTGCCTAACCCTAACAACATTTTGGACCGGACAAAAAATCTGTGCGATCACTAAAAAAAGCAGGGAAACATTTTTAAAACCCTATTTTTTAGTCTCTATTAACCCTTTAAAGCCTGTTAACAGTGAACAAATGAGGCCTCTGTTTTGGTGTTTTGACCACCTGATGTTAACATATAAAGGAAATAATGGCGTGTTATTATTATTATTATTATTATTATATGAGATTGTGGTTGGCACCATATTGGAAATTATTACAACATTTTTAGAATATTTTTCTGTGATTTCACCTTTGAGACAGGTGGATTTCTTTGGGTTACGTCTGAGTTTTGGAGAGAAATAAAGGACCAATCTGACCATTTTTCTGGAGGACTGGTCTTTGTTTAATTGTACTCATCTTTTCCATGTGGTACTTTCTGTAGTTTCCTCTGTAAACAATAAGATTTATCTCTAATTCTCAAGCAAAGCTGTTGCATTTCTCCTCCTAAACCCTGATGACAGCTCCGTGGTTTCTATGAATGGAGCGGATGACTGAAGGGAGAATGTGGGCGAAAACATCAAACACAAATTTATCTGACTATTTATTTAAAAACACAGCTTTGAGAAGATGTTTGAATCCAAAAAAACCTCTAAAATTAGACGGCCAATAAAACTATTGCCTCATGTATCGATAATTAGCAAACAAATGTCACATTACAAGCTAATAAAAATTACATAAAAAGCTTTTTTATGATGAGTTATCGGTGACATAATTAATTTATATAATCATGTGCAGACTTTAAGTTTAAATGTTATAGTTAGAAATTATGATTATCTCTCATTTAGCTAATAAAAATTCAATAAAAAGCTTTTTTATGATGAGTTAGTGTGTGACATAATTCATTTATATAATCATGTGCAAACTTTAAGTTTAAATGTTATAGTTAGAAATTATGATTATCTCTCATTGATGATAATAAAAATTACATAAAAAGCTTTTTATGACGAGTTAGTGTGACATAATTAATTTATATAATCATGTGCAGACTTTAGGTTTAAATGGGAAGAGAGAGCGTGGACGAACACATCAAACAGAAATTTATCTGACTAATAAAGTCAGCTATTACTATTATTATTATGTGATTTTCTGAAATTTTCTTTGGGATTCTGTCTTTCACTGTTAGAATGTACATATGATTAAAGTTATAGATCGTTGCATTCTTTGTAAGTGGGCAAACCTGCAAAATCAGCAAGGGGTCAAATACTTATTTCCCCTTACTGTAAAATAAACATTTATTCATAGTTTGACTTCTTTTGTCTCTTTTTTTTTGGTTTATTTGCCTCGTAACATGAGGATAATCGTGATTCTAAAGAGAAAGTCATTCAGCTCCGCGGTACGTTTTAAGTAGCTTTGAACAGATTGACTAATAAAGTCTTTTTCCTTCTTTTTCCGCAGCCCGACGGGAGCAAGCAGGAGTGCGTTTTCATCGAGGAGTTCCTGGAGAACAACTACACGGCCCTGGTTTCGGCCAAATACACGGGCTGGTACCTGGGCTTTAACCGAAAAGGAAGACCCAAAAAGGGTTCCCGGACCACTCAGAGGCAGCAGGAAGTCCACTTTATGAAACGGCAACCCAAGGGCCGCGTGGACCCTCTGGAGGAGTTCCGCTTTACCACCGTCACTAAGAGGACTCGAAGGGCCCGCAGGTTAAAAACCAGCTCCAAGAGGAACTAACCAACCATTGGACCAGCACTAGACGTTCCCATAAAGGATGGGAAAAGGGGGGTTTCGAATGGGGCCAAAACTGAACTGAAAAATCTCAAGCTTCTTAAAAGAATCACCTTAAAAGACTTCACACCAGTAAGAGAAAAAAAAAGACAGTTTAAAAGAACAAAATGAAACAACAACAAAAAAAAAGGCAAAGATGTTTTATTTTTGTATTTCAGGAAGTTTCGAATCTTTCCCGGTTCTCGGATTCTTCTTCTTGGCTCGATGTGTCGTGTTATTTATATTCTGGATACGCTAAAAGGAATCTCTGAGAGAACTCCTTTTTTCCTTTTTTATTTTTTTTTTCGACGCCGTAAAAACCAGCCGATCGAGAGATTTTTATTGGAATACCTGTCGTTTTTTTTTTTTTTTTTTTCTGTTTGCGTTGCCCCCGACGACGCGGATCCCAATCCTTCCAGTGGAATCGGTCGCCGTGGCGACGGACCGGAGAGAGGTGCTGCCGGGATGACTGCGTAGCTTTGAGTGCAATATTTTACAGCTCCAGCATGCTCTGAATAGTCCTTATATTTGTTTAAACCCCCTCAAAAAAACAACACAAACAAAAACGGAAAACACAACAGCTTATGTGCGATTCACAAGTCTTCCAACTTTAATTTGGGGACGGATGCTAATCCCCTTTTTGAATCCTCTTGGAGCCCTTTTTCTTTCAGTTTTCCTCACAAGTGTTGATGGCGTTTCACAGAAGGACATCGAGACATTTTTTCGGGACTTTTGATGACTTCCTCTACCTCCTCGTTCTATTTTTTTTTCTTTCAATCTCCTCTCAGTTGGTTCTTTATTATTATTTTTCAAATTTTTTTCAATTTTTTTTGACTGTGAGCTCTTTTGCTCCTTTTATTCTCACTGGAAGATGCTTTTGGGGCGATTTGGGGGTATTGGGTGGGATTTGGGGGTTGGTCTTAGCCCTTTGACATCAGTCATCCACAGACTTTTTGGGAAAAAAAACCACACGCAGATGACAGGATTCAGGGAACATTCGAGGTAACGCAGAGTTCATAAATGAATCCGAACGGGAAACGTTTTTGCTTCTCACCGACAGAAACTCCGGCCTCTCTTCACCCGTTTTGTGTTTTCGCCTGTCCAACGGCAGTTTTTTGTATGAGTTGCTACTAACAACATGACACATTTATGTTTTTTTTAAAACAAATGTAAGCAAAAAAAATAATTTTATGACTATATTAAGATATTTATTGCCTCCCTTTGTAAATAAAATGTGATGAATTTTATTTGGCCTCTGTTAATAAAATGAGGACTATATTTAAAAACAAAGAGACTTATTCCATGTGATTATTTAACCGCTGATAAAGGGGAAATTACCTTTATGACTCATGCTTTTTAGACGGGCCCCCTCCCTCCAGGTAGAGATCGGTTGGACATAGCGTACATTCCCTCCTCTGCTTTTTGCCAAGGTATGCATTTTTATATACAAACCAAAAGCATGCGTCCAGCTTTTAAGGTCAGTGGTGGGAAAAGGCCTGTTGCAACATCCCTAAAGTATTTTTAAATCCCCAAGAAAGGCCAAAAAGACCTCACACGAAACACGTATCAATCATATTTCACCCTCTTTGAAAGAGAACATAACAGTTTGTGGTATTTTTTTCTTGCAAAGATCTAGATACAAAGTTCTAGATAAGGTCTAAAAATACAACTTTAATATAAATGATCCAGCTCCTGATAAACACGCACTATATTTGACATGTTTTAAAGGTGCTAAAGGAATGCGGAGTTGCGTGTCTCATAACGTGAGCAGGAATGATGTTTACAGGACCCGTCAGACTGAAAGATGGCAGCTTTGAGGGAGAAAAATACTTTTGTTTAAATTCTTCCCAGCTATCAGGGCCCCTTCCACTCCACTCTAGTCACCTCCAACAGACCAAGAAGTTCCCCCTCCTGTCATGGGATTTTGGATGTCTGGTTTGCTTTTAAAGGCAGAAACAAAGTGCTTGTTGTGTGACCTGCTAATGTGCCGTTAGCGTAATGGATCCTCTTTGTCTTTGGGGAAAAAAAAGGGAAAAGATAATGGCAAGATTGGAAAGAATTCTCCCTCTGACCACCTTGTCT